CGCGTTCTCTGCACACTGTAACCTTAGTACAGATGTGTGCATTGTCGTTTGCAATGAAATATATCACGATGAAAAGGGAAATTTCTTTTTTTCTTTTTTTCTCGTTTACGACCGAAACGTTTTTCTCGTTCCGAACGAAACGAAACGAAACCGAAAGAAGCTGAAAGAAGACTGAAGCGTTAGCCTCTCACCTGTGCGGTTGAGTTTCCCCTGCTACATTCGCGTAGATCAAAGGCGAGAGGCCGACTGCGATCGCGTAGATCCAGAACACGGCGATGTATTTCTCGATGCTGCTGTGGGTGATGATGTTCTTGTACCTGAGCGGTTGTGCAAGCGACGTCAACCGGTCCACGGCGATCGCCACAGTCACCAACACGCTCACGCTGCACAGCGCAATCGCGATGCAGTACGGTACGATGCACAACGTGGAAACGCCATTTTCCGGCAGACCAGATAGCTCTAGTTGCATCCCAAAGGGCATGAACACACCGACCTATACGTGCAAGTAATATCTAATTTGCATACGCTGCAGGATTACAGACGGAAACACGTCCTTTGGAACTAGCTCGATAAACAACATCAGGCATTAGACAGGAATGGAAAGCTTTATAACGTGCTACATATGTATGTTTCAAAGTGTTCCTTCCCTGCGAGTGTGTTTACGCTCGCAGCTCGCGTAGATAATAGAGCGTGAAGTTGAACGAGATGCAAAGTGATTTCCAGTGAGGGGATATCGCGATCGTTTGCTAAAGAGAAATCGGTTCACGGAGCGAGTTGGCCTCGTTATAACGTACTGCGCCTCGTTTTGGGTAATTAGCTGGTTATAAAATATACTTGCCTGGCTGCTTCTGGCTTGAACGATCAAACTGTTTCAACGTAGTTTAGAGTAGGCAGAGGTACTGTATTAACATTGATCGGATCAGAGTGAAGCGAAGCATCAGCCATAATGTTCAATGATGAAGATTCTACGTGAGACTTGACTATTTTCAGGATTACGTGTACTTGTATTGTACACATTGTTGTATGAACTGTTAAAATATCATCATGTGTATACGCGATTCCTGCTCTTCAAAGATCAAAGTGTCACTGATACACCACTGATCGTTATTTCGATCGAGTTTTATTTGATCGACAGCGTGTATAATTCTTTTACAAGCTGCGTAAGATTACTGTCTATTCACACATAGAAGCATGAATTTATGGACAATCGGCGTTGCATTGCTCGCGAATTCGATGAACTTTTCTCTAAACTCTCGATCTTTTCGAAAATGCAATGCAAAGTCAAGCGAAGAAATTTTATTCTCCCTTTCCAACTTACTTTTTCACGTAGAATAGAATCACCTTTCGTCTCGTATTTATTCGTCATCGTATGTATTCGATTTCTTACACGGTAGAAGCTATTTGTACTTATGGCACTTATGAGACACATAGGCACGGTTTGATCGATTAATTTGAGGCGGTTCCGTATACTCGAAGTGAAACGTGTCAAACATCAATCGCGGTGGAAGGGCTATCGTACGGGTTGGAATTGAGGGTGGTCCTGTTTTCTGATTGATTAGCTGGCTAATTAAAATATCTCGTCAGCGGAACAATGTTGACATCTCCTTCGAGATGAATTCTAATAAAACTCTAATAGTAGAAAACAACGACTGAGTCATTTCATTTCACAACTTTAACAATTAATAGTATTTACTATCGAATAACATTATCTTATTTCGAAGACTACGGGCGAGTCACACACTCTAGAATCTAACACCTTGTTAACGAATTGCTGTTTCGATTTTATCGATTAATTCTAATTTATCGCACATTTTTTTCTTCTTTCAAACAACGAATCGAGTTTTTCATATTTAATTCACACTCGATGAAACTTGCAGCCTCATTGCGTATACACTTCAGCAACGTAGAATTAATTTCAGAATGCGAATGCTAAAAGATTAAAGAAATCAATTTATATCTCGTGATTTTCGATTATTTATCGCCGGGAGAATTATGAAAGAATTTAACATTAGTTTTAACACGCCTCGAGTGGTCCACCGTAAAATTATAACAATATAGCTTACCCCGAAGTCGCTGACGGCCAAAGAGACTAGCAAGTAATTGGATGCAGTCCGTAGCCTCTTGTACTTGTAGAAGGCGGCCAGGATAATGGAGTTTCCGGTGACGGTGATTGGTGATAAAATGCAGACTATCGACACGGCCAAAACCACCGAAACGGGATTGACGTCCAGCCGCGTATCGATCTTGGTAACCGTCGGTATAAGAGCGGTCGTCAATTCCGTCCCGGAAACGGTGGACGGCAGCGGATCCGTGGCGGGCGTTGACATTGTAATTTTCAACGTTTCCCGCGCGTGTCTCCTCCTCGGCTCTGCGTCTTCTTCAAGTAAGATTCCGCTCGTAAACGTGTCCCTCGTAGGACGACATGACGCATCCGCCAGGTCACGTCGATCGGAATTTCGCGAAGATCTTTAGTCACTCGATGATCTTCGGCAACGCGGTGCTTCCGTCGTGCCGCTCGATGCGCAAGTTCCCTGGAAATTTCATCGAGCAAATTTCCTTTTGCAGACTGAAGGCCTTTATTAAAGCTTTGATCGAAACTGTCGCTCGAAACAGCTCATTTTTTTTTTCTTTTTTTTTTTTCGTATTTAAGTTAAAATGTAACTCGGCGATTGTTTATGGGCGCTGTGAATGTTTACGGAAATTTATTTCTTTTTTCGTTTTCTTTCATTAATTTAATTAAGAAATAGAAACGAAGTAGATAAATTGCTCTGTCGAGTATTGTGAAAGGCACTACAGTTTGGATATTCGTGTATTTTTTGTACACTATCCTAGCCATTTTTGCATACAAAATCTGTAATCTAACGATAAGGAATTTCATTTGTAAAGGAAGTTGATTTTTCAAACTGATTTACACCGATTTTTCTACGAATTGATCGAATATATTCCAATATTTGCGATAATGTATGCCACATGTCTAGTTTGGTTTCTGAAAAGCGAGACGTCAAAGTCAAGTAGTTTAGAATCAAAATAACACACGTTTCTGAAAATTGATATCAATTAACTTTCTCAGCTGGATTATTCATTTTCGCTGTAAAAGAGATTCTCTCTCTCTCTCTCTCTTTCTCTCTCTCTCTCTCTACAAAGAAGAATCTTCGTTTTTATCTTACAAACATGA